ACATCCCAAAGAGATTCAGTATGAAAAAAACAGGAAATCCAAGTGCTAGAAATGTCTCATGTAGAAGCAGCTACTTGAAGAACAATATACGTCAAATCAAGAGAATTTGTCAATGTCATATTTCATACCATATTCTTCCTAAAATGGATAATAAGGACAAAAAGCTCATTTGTCCAGACTTTCCCAAATAGTTCCCAATTATACAAAATTCAAACACATATACAAACACCCCACAAAAGGAAAGAACAGTCAAATTCCAGTTGAAGCCTCAAGGCAAACAACCTGAGGCTAAAATATTTTAGTACTTTTGAAAAGAATAATAATCTAAATAGATTCCCAGGTTCAAAATTTATGTTACTGAATGGAACAGGACATTAATATCACTTAGAGTAAGAAAAATGTTCGATTTTCTATTATGAAGTAAAGAGAAAGGAAATTGTTCATTATTTCTACTGCTAGACTTTCAAAAGCTCCCTGCAGCAATGTATAACTGGATAAGCAGATGAATCATTACAAACCCAATGACAGTAAAATTCATGCAAATTGGTCATATACAAATAGCTACACTCTTGATGCTATGATTAGGCAGAGAGGTGAGTAAGAAGATTCACAAAATACAATAATCAGTGTGAGTTCCCCAAAAAAGAACCTGTTCTGGAAATTTAGGCTTGCCTAGACTTTAAAGACTCCCAGAGCGAAATCAGTGAGAAAAAGAAAGAAAGAAAAAGAAAGAAAAAAGAGGAAAACAAAAACAACTGAATAATGGCAAAGAGCTTTTAATTAACAGTCAAGCTAAAGCACTACTAAAAGATGCAGTTGTGTTTTTATTAATTCACTTGGATTCAGCAGGAATTCCATCAAGGAATAAAGAGAAGCAGATGCAAGAGGAGTACATTAATAAATCATGAGTCTCATTAAAATTTGTAAACTACTTTTTCTGGAAAGGCTAAGCAATTAGTCCTAGAACTTTCTCGGCATAATCATCATCATCATCATCATCATCATCATCATCATCATCAGAGTTGGACAGCTTGGATAGGTGAATAAGAAAACAGATGATCATACACTATACGCTGCACCCACATAGTGACGTAGACAGGCTATATTTGCCCAAAAAAGCAGGTGGCAGAGGACTTTTGCAAATGAAGCAGACAGTTGAAGAAGAGAAGCATGCTCTGGCAGATTATGTGAAAGACAGTGTTGAACCAGCTTTGATGGAGGTCAACAAGAGGAAGCTGCTCAAAGTGCAGCAAACCAAGAATCAATATAGAAAAACAGTGATGCAAACTCGGGCTAACAGTTGGTGTAACAAAGCATTGCATGGACTGTTCCTTGAAAAGATCCAAGCAAACGTAGATAAGGAAAAGACCTGGTTATGGCTGACCAACGGAACACTGAAGAAAGAAACAGAAGGCCTGATTCTTGCAGCCCAAGCACAAGCCATCAGAACAAATGTAATCAAAGCCAGAATAGAAAAATCAGCTGATGACCCCAGATGCAGACTTTGCAAATAAGTGGATGAAACCTCAAAAGCATACTAAGCTGTTGCAAGACAATCGCTCAGACTGACTACAAACAATGTCACAACACAGTCGCTCAGATGGTCCACTGGAACTTGTGTCATAACTACCATCTGCCTGTAGCAAAGAACTGGTGAGATCATAAGCCTGAAAAAATGGTCAAAAATGAGCATGCAAAACTACTGTGGGACTTCTGAATACAGACTGACAAAGTTTTGGAACACAATAGCCTGGATAGCACGATTGTGGAGAAGAAAAAGGTGTGGATCGTCAACATTGCCATACCTGGTGACAGCAGAATCGATGAGAAAGAACTTGAAAAAACTCACCAGATATTATGACTTGAGAATTGAACTGCAGAGACTCTGGCATAAACCAGTGCAGCTGGTTCCAGTGGTACTCGGCACACTGGCTGCTGTGCCTAAAGACCTGGGCAAGCACTTAAAAACAATTGGCGCTGACAAAATCACCATTGGTCAGCTGCAGAAGGCCACCTTACCGGGAACTGCTTGCATAATCCATCATGCAGTCCTAAACACTTGGGAAGTGTTCGACTAGTGATTTGTGGTCCGAAACCCAGCATAGTTATCTCATTTGCTGTGTAAACTGTCATTTTTTGTGTCAAATAATAATCTGAAAAGATCAGTATTTCAGAAATTTGCTGGCCCATGGAAAGGTCATTGATACAACAATTAGAGGACAAAACAAATGGATTGCCTGATTTGTAAAACCATAAAGACTTTCCTGGGATTCCACAGGTATTTTAATAAAGGGCAGGGACCTACAGTGAAGTTCAACTCCATAAACCTTCATAAAGTGGAAACAGAATTCTTTTTTAAGGGCCATGTTTCTAACAACTTGACTAAAGCCAAAATTCTGATTAATTTGCCTTAATCTGGTATGTTCCAAAGTACTTAATCTATTTTACCACCATGATTTGCTATAGATACTGACTTCTTGAAAACAAAACTTTAGTCACCTTTCCTAAAGCATTGCTCCTGACAACCTGGTTTTGGGTTCTCTGGTTTTTATCATATCTAAACTTTTCTAATATAAGTATGCTCTTCACTGCAGGCCACACTCAGTTTATAATGAAACCAAAACATTTGTCACAACAGTGTTTCAAAACTTGAAGAATCCAAACTATTGGGAGGGTACTAGATTACTGAAGACTGGAATATATTTACGAAGGGAATATATTTGTACATACTTCATAAACCACAGCTGAGAGAAAGCATAGCTGACATTGATCAATAGAAATTAAGGAGCTATATACTTTCATCAAATTTAATTAGCAAAGGAATTTATTTAAAGATTCTCTTAAACTTGATTTCCTTTTGATTTGAAATAATCACAATAGCTCATTCCAGTCCTTTACCAGTCATAACTTTCTTTACATTTTTAATCAACAAATAGCCATAATCACTGCAACAGCTGGTACAGTTGACCTTTTTTTTTCTAAAAAGAGAGGGTAGTTCAACTTTTCCTAGCTGAAATCTGCCTTTAGATCTGAATGGATATGGCAAAAATCAGGCTTCATTTCTTTCATTTCCATTTTGTTTAAATTAAATATAATGAAAGTGACTTCTCACCAGTAGCAATGCACTGAGATTTATGTTCTGCCCCATAGTACTATACATCACCTTCTGGGTAGTTTACCATGTCAGCATATTGCCCCCAACAATCATAGAAACTGCTTCAGAGTGCTTTATAGCACTTTCTGGGTGATTTACAATGTCAGCATATTGCCCCCAGCAATCTGGGTCCTCATTTTATTGACCTTGGATGGATGGAAGACTGGGTTGTCCCAGAGTCCATCAGGATCGAACTCCAAGCTTTGGGCAGTGTTAGCTGCAATATTGCATTCTAACCACTGTGCCACCAGGGCCAAACACATATTTAATGTATACTTTCCAACAGTGGTGAGATTCAATTTTTTTTACTACCAGTTCTGCAGGCGTGGCTTGGTGGGCGTGACAGGGGAAGGATACTGTAAAATCTCCAGTCACAGGTGGTATTTGTCGGTTCTCCAAACTACTCAAAATTTCCGCTACTGGTTCTCCAGAACTGGTCAGAACCTGCTGAATACCACCTCTGTTTTCCATTATGTTCCTTGTAGTGTCACATTTTGCTGGCCACACTCATTGTCTTTCCCCTCTCTATATTCTTGTACCAAATTCATAGACCTGAATGGAGATATTTGCAATCAAGAAAGCATGTGAGGGCTGCTTACTTCCTCCTGCTGTTTTCATTAAAGTAGGCCTTCCTGCCCTCACTGAAAAGGTATCAGGAATCTCACTATAAAATATAATGAAATCCTGAATATATTTAGATAGTTAAAAATTCTGGATCAATGGAAAGTTAAGGAGTAGAAAGGAGAACATGAGATGAGGGGGAAAGACTACAGGACAAAAGGTCAATAGAATCTAGATCACATATTAGCTTGTCATGTAAGCAAAGCTATTCTAGAAGACTAATACTGTCATCTAACCTGTGAAAACTAAAGATGTGGTTTCCAGATTTGTTTATTTATTCTGAACTACTTTGTAGCTTTTATCCTTGTCTGACAAATCCTAAATTTCAGAATCCAATCCATGCTGCTTCTTTTATTTCAAGAGAATTTGGGTACATTACAAAAACTGTGGAGTCCTTGGTCCTGTCTGAGCTTGGTTGTTTGCTTGCAGACATTTTATTACCCAACTAGGTAACATCAGTGCAAGTAAGCTGGAAGTTTGCTCCCTGTTTATATACCATAGTTTGCCTGCTGCTTTTAGTGGCAGTGGGGTTTTTCCTCTTTGGCAGTTTCTTAATTAGGGTATAGGGTTTCTTCTTGATTGTTTGCCTGGTGTTAATCCCTGCTTATCTGGATGTTGGCTGCTTGGGAAGTTCTTAGGTAAATAGATGTTACCATAACAGCAAAATACTGAATAAAATCAATCTTTGGTGTAATACAACAGAATCCTGCTGCTCTTAACATTATGCTTTCACAAGAAAATACCTATCTTCATGGCTAATTAGCTTTTCTAATCCTGTCACATCCACTTTCAGGTTTTAAAAAGGAACTCACATATATACAATAATAGCAGTGGCCAATTAATTTAGAAGAGGGATAGCAATAGGAATAGGATAGACTACTACGTTATACTACAGTATTTGCTGTACAGCTATCAGTCATATCTGGTCTGCAGGAGCTTTTTGGGCTCATCTAATTAATTTTTCAATATGATGTTAACATTTGTTGAACATATATATTTTATATCAAATTATTTTCATACTTCAGTGTTATGCTCATATGGTGATGATTTACAGATTCCAGTTACAGAAAAACAAAACATACACATCTTGTTCTGAAAATGTGTTTGACTACAAGTTCAAAATATATTTGAACTTATAGTCAAATATATGATAACTGTCACAACAGGGTTTTTAAACAACAACAAAAATCTCCTGGTCATCAGGGCAAAGAAGCAATCTGCTTACCTCCAAAGTGAACTTTCAGTGACGCTTCCCAAATTGAAGTCATGCAGTTTTGTAAGAATGAGAATCACCTAAGAGAAGAAGAGAAAGAAAAAGGGAACAGATGAAAAGCATCTTCCATTAACTTTCTGAAGCAATCCTTTTGAAATCACCCAAAGGAGAGCTTACTATTTATCCATACAATTTGGGGTATTATAGGGTCAAGAAATGAATAGGGAGGATAAGGTTCTCAATATTGTAACTTAATGCATCTTCGTAGATTGTAATACTTTATTATATTGCAGATAGAAAATATAATTAAAGATATTCCTAGAAACATGTTTCCTTTCATCTAGGTACATCTGGACATGTTTCATTAACAATGCAAACATATTGTTGTGGTTCACTGGCAGCAGGTGTGAACAGCTGAGGTTTCTGAGAGTTAGGACTTGGACGAGGGGCCTGCATGTGATGCAGAGATGGGACCAGGACTATCAGAGAGTGTGGTGCTGCCTTCGGAGCTTGTGGAGTCTGGCAGCAGTGATGCAAAGTACCCTGAGAAGCCTGTACCCAGTGCGTATGCACGCAGGACTGCTCAAAGGAAAGAGCAGCTGCAGCAGCATGGGCGATTCGGGAGTAAGGCTGCAAGGTGATGTCCCCTCCTATAAGGGATAAAAGCAAGCCCTCAGGGATTGAGTTCTTTGCCGGAAGCAAAGAAGTTCTTTCAACTCCAAGTTCTTGTGGAAGTCCTGTCTATTCTGGTTTGTTTTCTGAGACTTTTGGTTTTGGATATTTCCCAGCAATTAATCTTAGGTTCTTGGCAGCCTTTCACAACCTTGAAAAGGCTTGCTCTTATCTGGGAAAATTAATTTTAATGACTCATTGCTGTAAATGAACAGAATTCACAGAGACACATTAAAAAGGTTTGCTTTTATATATACTTTGTGTTTATTTGATTTGAACAAGGCTTGGATCTTGCCTTTGTTTAGTGGATGGAAGCACTACACTGTTCAGTTGAGTTCTTCTCAAGGAATTACACACTGACTTGCAGTCATCTTACAGAAAGAACAATGAAAATTATTCTAGAACTTCACTGCATGTTCCTCTTCTTTGAAAGTCTAAATCAGAGGTCCCCAACCCCTGGGCCATAGCCCATTTAGAACCAGGCCATGCAAGTGGTGAACAAGCGTGTGTAGCTCCACTTGTGTGAGAGGCAAACATTCATGCACAAAGCTTATTTGTGTGAATATTGTGAAAATGGAGCTGCATGCATGCACTCATCCACTGTTCATGTGAAACCATCCTCTCTCCCCACCCCATTGCTGCTGGTCCACAAAGCCAGGAAGGTTGGGGACCTGTAGTCTAAACCATCCTGCCATTTTCTCTCATTTAGGGTATAAATATAATTTGTTACCACAATGTATTTGTTACCAACCCATACTGATATCAAAATGACCAAACATGCATGTGATCTTACAATGCAAACTTCACCCCTTCACAGCAACATCACCTAAGAGGATGCAAGCATTTAATATGTATTAAGATATCATTATAACTGTTTTATCTTTTGCTTTTGCTTCCCTTGCAGATAGATATCTATGTTTGCTACAGATTTTTCTAAAAAACCCAGAAATCTCACAAAAGTCTGTCTTGAAGTCATTACTTTTAATTGGATAGCCAATGAAGCAGTTTTTTTCCCCAACTTAATAAGTCTTTCATCTACACTTGGAGTACTCAGCTTTGGTATAATGGTTTACCAAATTTGCCTTGCAATTTCTCAGATTCCTCCCCTGTGAGGAAGGCTTTTGCCTTTCTTTGCTTTATTTTTAAAGTGCCAAATAATTTATTTTAAATTTCTTTTTTCTATTACTGGTACTGTGGATATGGTTTTCTATTACTCATTTTTTCCGGCATTCTGAAACTTTCCAGGCTATCAATGCTTTTCAATGGGATGTAATATCTTGCCTTGAGGTTTTCCTAATATGTAAGAAAAGAGGGAGACTACCAGCTGCTGGATATGAAAGATCAAATATTTTTTTCTTAATCATCTTGAATTAAATATAATATTAAATTAATCTTTTTATTAAAAAATCTATTTTCCTCCAAAAGACCTAAAAAACAACTTCACTTTCACTAAACTGAAAGATAAAGAGCATAGGAGAATTTTACTGCATAGCATTCATTCAAAGTCTGATCAGTTTGTAAGACTAATAGTTATCTCTTGTCAGGCAGAATAAAGTCAAAAGACTTATTGGGAACTCTCTCTATATTTCACAAATCAAATTTGCCTAGTTTCTAGTTTCTGTTTTAGGGGGATTTCTTCCTGAAACTATGAGAATTGTCCCGCATATATGTTTAAAGAAATATATGAAGCAAAAATCCTAACCGATTCTAATGCACCAATGCTCTATTTTGTCTTAACTGTGGGACCTGTTGAGAAAATGAAGTCAGCACAGAATAAGTCACAACCATGTCATGTAATATATAGGTGAATGAATGTCTTTGTTATTGACGATCACAGATTCTGTACAAAAACTATCGAGCAAGTAGTAAATGATTCACTCAGCTAGCTGAAACCTACACCTGTTTTTGCTGATTAGCATTTCACCATTCATCAATAGCTGTTATTGCAATCCATTTAATAGCACTGTATCATCGGTCCTTTAACAGACACAAATTGCTTAATTTAAAAATCCTGAGGCTAAACTGGATGGAAATGATGAACAAATGTTCATATTATTGAATAATACATGAAAGTTGTCCTTGGGTTAAGAACAAGTTCTGTTCCCTAACTCTGTCTTTAACCCAATTTTGTGTTAAAGTCAGAACCTGTACTTACAAACTGACTGCCTATTATTGAAAATGATGCATGGAATTTTCTTTCCTCGAATCAACAAAGCATTAAAGCTGTACAAAGCTTCCAGGAACTGCTAAAAACTGCTGTATATTAAAAATGGCCAGCTTCAGCAGTTCCTGAAAGCAATGTATGGCTTCAATGCTTCTTCAGTGCAAGGAATAACAAAGTCATCAGCCATTTTTACTAATAAGTAGCCCATCTATAAACAATAACAACAATAACCCAGGTTGCCTTTAAGTCAGGCATCTTAAACTAGGGACTGTCAATACATCTGAAGTCCAGTACACCTGCTGGGCTTAATTCCATTGTAAGCAAATCCTTTGTTTCCAGTTAGTTACTATGCACAGTAGCAGGATTACCCTCTGACAGAAGGAAAATGGTAGAAGTGGACATATTTGGTTTGTTTGAGTAGTCCTGGAGGAATAAAGAAACAGGAGAATCCCCCAACCAGATACTGTGGTAAATGTGATTCAAATAGACCATCGGGACATCACAACAGTCAAAAGAGAAGAAGGAGTGGAAGTACAGAACCAAACTGTTTTAAGTCAGTTTCATGTTTAGCTGATGTAGAGCAGGACTGTCAAATTCCCAGCATGCGGACTGGATACATCACACATGCCCGGTTTAGCAAAGAGGAAAAAAGTCCTAATACATCACATGATGCCGCCATGATGACGTGACTTTGACACACCAGATATAGAGACTCTAGAACATGGGAGTCAAATATGCAGCATCATGTTGCTATCATGTGATGCTTTGCAATGTTTTTCCCATTCATGGAGCTAGGGTGGGCATGGCCTGAGCACAACGTATCCAGCCCTTGGGGCACCTGTTTGACAACCCTGCTCTAGCAACTTAAGGTCACAATATGGAAAAGCCCAAAGCCAAGCTTTAATTGTTGAAATTTGCATTTCAAGAAAAGTCTTAGTTGATTTTAATGAGGATTTTTCTCTTTTAATGCAACAATTTGGAGAAACCATTTTTATTCAGCTTGTAATAGGGAGAAAAGAGTTAGACCCTTTCCTTTTCTTCCTGCTCCGGCTTTACTTTTGGATGCTAATTACAAAATAAAATATAAAATTGAACTATATTCATACAATTATAGCACAACTAACTTCAGTCTATTTTTCTATAGATTAAGGCATTTTCCAAGGAGTTAACTATGCACCTCTGCTGAATATGCCTAATTTCTTCTTTTCAAATATCAGAACATGACACCCAAGAAATTTCACTATCTCGCAGTTGAAGGTAATGACAACACTTCCAGCTCTGACTTAAAGTAAGTGACTCAGGAAACAGAATCTGAAGTAAAAAAGAGCAAGTATCCATGGAGATGAAGCCTCAGAGAGAAACTAAGCAAAAAGGACTTTTTGGCAATAAATCAAAATACTCAAATGGAACATAGGAGTTATGAAGAAACGCTAAGGTACAAATTATTTTGCAAGAAATTGTTCCATTTGTTTTGTGCTTCTATTGCCATCCTGCCTTGTCTTTGATATCTGGTTCTGCTTTTGCCAGTTGCTTTCCTGATTTATATGCCTGGCTCAATTTATGAAAGCTCCTAGGTAGACCTCGGACAGTTTATAGATTACTGTATGCTGATTCCACCACCTAATTGCAACATCTGGCAGTGACATTTATCCTTAGGCAGGTCAGAGTTGCAGCAGAGTTCTGTCCCCGTGCAATTTATTTAGATCATTTTCATACTGCCTATCAGATTGATATTGTTGGCAATCTAACATTAATTTTCTCTCCTAATAATTTGTATCCATGAGAAGTGTTACAGGAGAGAAATGCAGTTTGGTATAATATAGTTTGGTCCTCCAAACTATAGCATATGTAATCAAAACCTAACAAGACAAATGGGAACTTTGGTTTTAATAAAGATATGTTACAGTCAGAGATACAATTTCTAGAAAAAAGGAGGCAGAGAAATTTGAACATTATAAATAGAAAATCTATCAATTGTAACGTACCTGGCTTTCTTCCATGTGGGTATTGAGTGCAATGGTAAAAATGTGAACTTGGGATTCTTTTATCTAACCCAAAATTCTAGACAATGAACTATATTAGCTCTTACATACTGAGACATATGAATTAATATACTAACCTTTTTAAAATGCCACCACCGCCAGCCTACCCACATTGTAGTATTCTATTAAAACATTTTTGGAAAACCTTTTCAAGTTAACACACACATTATTTCTCTCATTTCCACCCCCCTCTATGTCTGTC